CTGTGGTCGCTTATGTTCATTATTTTACGTAACCAAGTTTCTATATCGAAACTTAATACGTTGATTATAGTGGATCGAATCGCCTCGTTCTACGGGCAGCTCCAGACTATCGCCACACCCATGTGTTTCAATGGAAATCGGGGTAATATAAACTGTTTTTCGAGCAAAATCAGCCCCGATAGTCAGTATCGGGGTACACATCCTTTTTCTTCTCGGATGTGGTTCGCGTCGTTCAAGAGGATGTTTACGGACTTCGTCTCTAACCGAGACCACGTATCTCCCTTGATTCTTTTTTAACGTGGGTTCGTCCCTCCCCACGCGTGTTGAATCACAGACACGCGATACCATTGCGACGCGAGAGTTCTGTATCGTGGCCGACAAGATTCACGTGACATCTTCGTTTCAATTTTACGAATCAACCCACTCGCCGACACGGATTCTCGAATCATTAGCAAGAGCCTTAATTGGTTCGTATACACAATCCGTTGAGTAATTTTTCGATTTAGAATTGACGGGACACCCTGTATACAGAAACATCCCTCAGTAACGTAATACCCGCGTGCCTCATTAAGGGGTTCGAGTAACCCTTGTTGATAGAGGGTAAACCTTACTTCAGCTGCCATTTTCTCGACGAATATTCATACTAGGGCTTCCGAGCATTAGCACCCTGTCTAAGCTCTCTCGATGCTTGTACAGGGTCTATACTCGTTACAGGTGAAAATCATTGTATTACCAGAAAGGAATCTCTTTGATTTACTTGATTACCAAATGCAATTAACTGTACAAAAGGCGTGACAAGTTTCTTGTGACGGTTTGTACCGTAACCGAATCGAAAACGTTTATTAACATTTTGATAGATAACATTCCGGGACATGACACCTGGGTCGCCATACCGACGGCCCTGCTTGTGTGGGCTCAGCGAAGCGTGGGTGTATCGTGCTTCCCAGCTGCATTTGTAACGCCAAGTGCTTGGCGGACGGAATATTACATACTCGTAGGTGCATCTACAGAACGATTCGTATCGCGATACACACTCGAAATTTCGTGACTCTCCATCTCTGTTTCTTCAAATTTTTCGAGAGTACACATTCTTACCTTTAATCTCTCGTAAACTGACTCACCTGTATGCACACGAGAATCAAGAGTTTACCAGGGTTCGCTTAGAAAAAGAACGTGGTTTATCGCGGGATGCGTCACGTGTACCCAGTCATCAAACCCGTATTATTCATTGGAACACGACTCCCAAAGCTCAACAGGTTCCCACTTTCTTGAACTTAGAGACTACACGTGAATATCCACGACTATGTCTATTGTATCCCGGAAGATACGCAAAACGAAGGAACCGTACGATGCAGAAAAAAACTACTAAGTATTATCATTCACGAAGATTCTATGTATCCAGCGACCATAGGAGACACGTAGTTTTTGGGTCAGAGTGAAAGTTACTGTTATTGATTCCCCATGGAAGGCCGTCAACTCGAGTTTGTCTACGGCTTACCGAAGTCATAATTCCACCCTGGTGGCCCGATTCCCCGTGAAAATAGTCCCGGTGTTTCGTCACGGGTTTACATAGGACCGTGTACAAATTTTGTACCAGTGACTCGTGTACGCGTAAACGGAGTCCCCCATTCTAGGGGCCGTCGTCCGGGCATATGCTCTCACACGGAAGAGACAACCTGCACAGTATCGTAGCTGTGAACAAGTGGGCGAGATAGATGCGCGCAATCTCTCCTGGGTCTCATGCTCCGCGTGCCGGCGCACGTTGGGGCCCAGCGTGTAATAATATGCTGTTAGGCGATCTAGTCGATTGCGTAGATAGACAACGTCTGATATTGTCAACGACAGGAGATGGTTGATGAGGAGTTTGTTTTTACGATGTCCTGCTGAATGATCGTCGATGTGTACGCGTCTGCTGTCGATCAATCTGATCCTTTTACTACATACATCGTTGCATAGAATGTTAAATGATAGTTCAAGAGAGACAATCGGAATCAGTGTTTTCAATTGTTCCACAAGGGCGTTAAAAAGAATTTCAACAAAAAGGAATATCGTTCAGTTTTCTTTGAGTCGAAGTGAAATGCCCGTTGATGGCATTAACATTTAACTTTTACAGTAAAAATACTGTTGCGATAAGTACAGAATTCCTTTCTGTTCTGGGAAGCTATCGACAAGTATCTAATCCTGAAGTCTGCAGGTGTCCAAAAAATCATAAGGCAAGGAGTTAATCCTCGAATAAAATCGAGTTTCTTTCGTAAATTTTCTGAAATTTTTTAGGCTATACCGTGACGATCTCACAGGACTCGTAAAAGTTCAGACGGATCCAGAGAGCCGGTTGCTCGATTTTTGGGCGTGTGCACACGGGGCCAGGCATGCACGCGTGACACGCAAGCAAGCAACCGAGCACAGTCTCGCGACGGGATGCACACGAGTCCGAGGAAAGCACAGGCCTCTCTCGACCGTCTCTCTAGGCTGCATCCGGCAGAGCGAGTGTTTTTTGCGCGTCGTATCGCATCCTTAAGTTCGCCACTTGTCCCGCGCGAGTAGCAGGGAGAAGCGTCTTCGTGACTGTCGTGCGCTCCCGCGGGGACTACGTACCCGTGGCATGCAAATGAAAATCAGAAAATTTCCACGAGAGTCACGGAGCATCGTTGGCCACGAGACTGTCGGTTGAATCGGCTACTGGTGCCTCCTTACTCCACTGGGACTGGATATTCTTTCACGAGAATTACATATATAAAACTGTGAGTTGGATCGGACGGTTCTTAAAATGATAGAGGTCCATTTCAATTGCAGTTAGAAATTCTTTGATATTTTTCAAGATACTCGAACCGATATAGAACTCGTACGTTTTTACGATCGGTAGATAAGTTTGATAACTTTCTTGAGATTCCTTCAGGTTTAACTATCCATTACTCTTACTTACACACTCGCTTGGGAATCAAGCGATTACAGGTTGTCACCACGTGGTAACGAAATGTAGTGCTACACATATATCTTTTGAATATGAAGGATAGCCAAACGTGAAAGAAGTGCGTGATAGCGATCGAGAACTTATCTGCGGTGCGTAAAAACTCATGAATTCTACATCGTGCGCAACATCTTGAAAAGTAATGAGATAGTGCCGCGATAAGGGAGGGCAGGACGCAACGTCTCTTACACGTGTTGTGCACACACGATGCCGCCGCGCCGGCTAAGCCGGCGGACAAAATCGAATCGTAAGACGTTCACGTTTTCTCTTTCACGTGAAATTCCGTGAAATATAGTACTGTTAACCGCCTCGTGTGTCTCGACTTATCTTCGTTCTGATATCTCACGTGTACTCGATTGGTTTCGTTTTTCTTTTTTTCAAATACAAGCTAATTTTCCAGAGGCGGATATTGGAGAACGATATACGTAAAAACGATAATGTCCGTTTTCTTTTTTTCGATTTCGAAAGTTTCAAAAGCACAGCGCCGAATTCACACGTCACTGAGAATCGCTAACCAAGCTATCGGATTAATGTTTACCTGAGTAATATACTCGATCCAGTGACAACACCGGTGTCCGCAAAAATCGCTGATAAGCTGTTGCAAAGATTTCTACGTTTCTACACTTCCAGGAATCCGTATCTTCTGTACACATTGCGAAAAAGATTCACTATCGACGCGGAAAACTCGTAACAACGTTATCCCATTTATCGAACTACCGTTTAATTGTTACTATCGTCGATTAGTATGGTCGTAATTCGTTGTACAAGGATATTGAGTTCCGAGAACCGAGCACGTTGCACCTGTCTAACAGAGACGTTCTCAACCGTAGATACAACCTAATACACGATTTGTAGCGATCAAATGTATCAAAGAGATATATCTTTTTAACATCTCCTGTTATCTCCCGAATGCTCTCGAATCTTATGCAGAGATAAGTTCAATCTCTCTAATCGTCTCAACTAAAATACCTTCCAACCCATCGTGAGAAATCTATAATATTAACTACATAGCAGAAGTTTTCTAGACCTGCATAAACCACCTTTTTCAAAGTCGTCGTTCGACTTAAAAATTTCTTATTATGAAAATTTTGACGATATTTAAAACACTGAAATTATTTACCTAGTCGAACGCTACAACTTTCTACCGTTTATTTTACATCACGTGGTTTCCCTCGAGTTACCTTCATTTTAAATTGGGCAAATTATCCACTCGAGGTAAGACGCGCGAATGCATTAGGGGCAATCAACACGCGACGATCATTTACGAAGCTTTACGATTAGACTTTTGGTTGTTGTATTCATATTGCGTATGAATATGCCAAAACATAAGCAATTGGAGATTTTAATAGTGATTACTGATCACTGATTAGCGACGCTATTGTCTCATCTAGAACTTAACGAAACCTTCCCTATAGATAGAAATATTTCGTCTAAACTACTCTATGAATGAAAACATGAATTTCCATAAACGTAAATCAGCAGTCTAGTTTGACGCAAAATCTGGTTAAATTTACAGAGAAAGAAGCTAACGAAGCTCCGAACCGAACTGCTGAAAACAGTCCAGTTTCCATCGAACCACGCGACCTCCGGTGCATAAGACCTACGCCTCATTTACATTTCCTACCAGTTATTAACATGCAGCTTATGCGCGTGCTCGCGATAACAGCTTACCGAGCCACGCGAGCTTGCCAGTGGTGGTCAAAGAAAAGTTCGAAAACATCCTCCGATAATTCAATTGCCTTATACAACTACCGCTACGCATCTGGGAAACCTGAAAACTGTAGCCGATCTATAAACCTTAAGAAACACCGGCTACGGTACTCGCGACAAAGCTCATAACTAATCCTGAACGGTATTTACCGCCATAGAAAACACAGTCTCTCTCCCATGGTCTTGGGGGACATAAAACCTCCCGGACATAAGTATTACGTCTAACCACAGAAGGGACGAAACTTCCAATTATGTACGTTTCCGGCGATACCAATAAAATTCATAACACATTCGTTCATAGAAACGGTAAGAAACGGCTTACCGAAAAATTTCTCCCAGCTATCGGATTCATCCGAGTCCACGGCGTTGGTACCCGTGGTCTCCGCGTCCGCCTCACTGCCCATCTCGTTGCATCAAACGTTCACGATCTTGCCCCTTGCGAGCACCGGAAGGCGCCGAGGATGATACAACCGGGGTCTCGGCGCGTCCAGAAAAAATTCCTACTTCTTTCACTTCGTATAGACACACGATATATATATATATATATGTATATATCACGGGTTGGGCCTAAAGGGATCCGGCACAATCGTCACATCGCACGGCCGATCGTCAGAATTCGGTACTCGTGGAACGTCGCAAGCCGGCCCGACGATCTTGATCGAGATCACGGAAGGAAGAACGCGCTACGTCCCATCCCCTTGGCACGCGGTCGCGAGACGGACTGAGAGAGCTGGGAGAGCCTTCGACCCGACCGACCAACCGACCAACCGTGCCGGCGAGTCAACGAATCGGCAAACAGCTCCGGCAACCCATACCAACGCGCTGCGCCGCGACTGCCTGGCTCTCCTCCTGTTCCACGGTTCCACGTTCTTCTGGTCTGGCCGGGTCTCCTCAATGCACCGACTGTCCTCGCCTTCCTCTCTTCTACGGCCCGTTCATGTAAATCGCCGCAGCCGCCGTACGTTGCCCACCCGCTTGCCCGCCCGCCTGGTCATTGAATTAGGACCGTCCCGATATATTTTTAACCCTTCGCAACGCCCCCCCCCCCTCTTGTCTCGTTCTTTTTCAAACCGGCCCGGTTTTTAGGGGGGACACTGGCGGTGATGCCCCGGGCCTGATGCTCGCTCTGGAATAATCTGCGTTAATCTGGGACGGACATAGTGTTGTTTCGATGACCGATTTTCGTTTTCGAGAGGAGCTGATCGAATTCTGGATCTTGCGAGATTTGATTGAGATTTTGATATTTATTGTGGATTCGGTTTTTATCTATTGGATTTTTGTTGGAGGGTGGGGGGTGTACTGCCGAGGTGACGGGTCGGGTGTTTTTTACGTGGAAGAATTATGTAGGACGGGTTGTGGTGAAGACGTAGAAAAGTATGGACTTCCAAACGACTGGCTGTCTGCTGGATGTTTTATGGTTCTGATAGTTTCTTGTGAAATGTCTCGAGAGGCTGAAATCCGTTCGTTTAATGACACGAGAATGGCATGGACCAATGTTTCGAGCTTTAAGGGATTGAAACTTATGTATTCGTAAGAATTTTATATGTGTGGTATGGAATGTATGTTCGTTAGCTGAATATGTAATGGAGAACGTCTTAGAGATCAGTTTTCGTTACGAGAGGCTCATTTGACATGGTCCAGTCGTCTTAGTTGTAGCCAATCCTTGCGTGCATTTTTACAACTGAATAAACAATTTCCTTTTAGAGGCCATTATATGGACAGATTTAATCGAATAAGGATTTTGTATGGTCTAACAGTAACCTTCCCCCACTAGAAAGTGTTGCATTCTATTCGTTATTTGCGACGAAACGGCTTAGACGACTACAATTATTAGAATCCATCTCGATCTGGAAAAGTAGAGTATAGTCAAGTGTATTATAATCTTTGGAAACCCATGCTTTTTCTTATTTGATGTAATTGAACTTGAAAATAGGAACAACATTATTGAAATCCATTGCCCTTTCGGCCAATAAACACTATAGCCATCTATCTGGCATCTCTATAAACTAAAGGAACCCTTCTAAAATGTGCTAATGCGCATATTATTTAATAAAAAAGTCACACTTCGAGGCATAATTAACAAGAACAGGTTGATACTGAGGCTGAATATTTTTTACTGTCGTTAATTTGTTTCAAAAAAATGAAACTGTACATACAATTAATTAATACATATACGTAAAAGAAGTGGTTTCTTCGATGATTTTCGAATGTATCTAACACATAATCTAATAACTATAATTTATTTAGTTTATAATTTAGATTTGGCAATATTTACCATAGATGTTTGGCATAACGTAGATACTAAAATCACAGGTTAATAATGGTGCCGTTATTACAGATTTCTAGGGCCACGAAATTTCGTAAGGTGATAAATCTATTCTCATACAATGCATACCTTGTCTGTCACAGTATATATGTACATACAGTAGACGCTTGATAATTGCCGCTTCGTTAATTGATCACTGGGCCGCCCCACGCTCGCACCTATTTTTTACACACGTGCGCACACATCCCATTCTGTCGCCCAGCACGTGCAGGACGCAATACACACGATGTCGCGTTTAACGCACATATGCTTGCATACATAAACTGACCGACGGTAACTACTGCAACCTAACTGAACGGGTTGCATGAAAGTAGGCGCTACGTTAGTAAACACATCTGGCCGCTAGATGGTTATACCATCTGCCACCCTGCCGCGTGCACTTTTGAAATTTATTTCAAGACATTAACAGAAACATTAACATTGAAAAGAAACGTTTGATTCATTTATTTCTGAGACAAGTAGTCTACGTGCTCCAACATCCTACAATTAGCAGAATCGAAGGTAACTCTGTAGTTAGAAAGCAGTATCCATGATACTGTTGATTTTAGCACGATTTAACATAAAATTGCACCCGTTTGCGTTGAAACAGTGTCCCTCAAGTTGATAGACGGTATCGCATTCGACGATCCAAGAGCAAGAACCCCGTTGCAAGCCTCGATTATTACGATAACCATGCATAAATCGTATCTTCACTATAGATCTTAAGAACCGCATCTACGGTTTTATCACGAGCGTACGTCGTGCAGTTTCGTTTCGGCCGGACCAATTAGTTCTCAGTTTTATAGATATTCCTCAGCGACACGACGTTCAAGGTCGTACTAGTTAGGGACGGTCGCATGAAGATCGCATCTTAATGATAGCGTGCTGCCACGCCAACGGGGCGAAAGACCCTTGATATCGATTTTCAAGGACAACAGAAAAGGGTTTATCCACGTAATTGTCGTTTCGAAACATCCATACCGTATAAGTTATTTTTTAGCCAGTAGGCCAACAGTAGAAATATCAGTCTCGAAATATTTTCGATTCCATTAGATCTAACTTTTTTCATTCAGAATAACCTTGTCGATATCTATGTATTGTAGATATAGATACGGTATATATGTATTCTGTTTAATTGAAAACTGTGTTCGTAGTTTCATTCCTTTTGTGTTCTACGGTTATAGCTATATTCACTCCTGAATTCATTGCCCCAATTGGCTTCAATCATCCCGTATTCTATAGCATCACCCTTTCACCTATGTCCGACGTGCATATTACTTAATGCTTTCGCTCGTTATCTCTTCGATTTTTGCGGTCACGCTAACCGCCACCCTTTTCAATCACGGGTGTTCCTCGATGTTTCTTCAATCTCATTCCGATATTACCCAGACGATCCAGTTCCAAGAATAAAAGTTTAACCCGCTGTCCGACATTCCCCTTTGAAAAGTAACGGAAATTAGACATCTCTGTGACGACAAGGTCATATTAAATTAACAGCGACCAAGTGCAATGGCACTCGAACGATTTTTCAAAAAATCAACTTTCCCATTGCTCTACTATACAGCAAACGTGCACTCTATTCCTGTACATTACAATTTCAACAAAATCACCATTAAATCCTCCACGATCTCCAGACCTTTTCGCTCTGATCTCAATCAATGCTTTACCTATCGAGAGAAGTCTAAGAAAACCGTTACCAATACACCTGTCTCTACTCTATTGTCATTGTTTCTACATTGGTACCGAGGATCGTAAGTTCAAAAAGAAAGTAGACTTCCCCACGAATCTAACGTGAAGATTGCGTACATCGAAAGCTCGAGGAAAGGGCAAGGTGTAGGGGAGGTACATAGCGCAGCCGGTCGCAGGAGGCCCGTTTCAGACGGGTGGCGAAGAAAACCGAGGGCGAAAGAGCGCAGGCCTCGACCTCCACCGCGTCGTATTCGAAGCCGAGGAAGGAGAAACTGGCCGAGGGTGGTCGCGGCTGGAGTCACGCAACGGCGAAACGAGGCCCGAGAGAAAGAGAGAGAGAGGGACCACCGTCGGGGAACCGCCGATTGTTTCCGAAGCAAATCAGTCAGTCTGCAGAATGAAGTGTCCGGCGTGGTTGGTTTTCGCTCTGTTCCCGCATTTCTTCGCTGGGATACCGGTCACCCGGTCCCAGAGGACCCACGCGAGGCAGGGCCTTGGACGCGAGCAGCCACTCGTCAAGATCCCGGATCAAGGATCGGTCGCCGGCAAGGAGGTGCGACAATTTTCACTTCCCATCCACTCATCCCCTGATTCCTCCGATTGCCAGGCTTGCCACCCGTGAATATGGTTGCTATGCGATTAAACGAAACGATTTTCGGGCTCGCGACCACGGGGTGGTGACTTTGCTAGGCAGGGGATTGCCATTTGCTTCCTATGACAATCGGGAACTGTCAATCTTCCCATGGAAGATGTAAACTGCATTTGTTTTCCGTAATTGGTTCAAGATACCGACGGGAGATTTTGTAATTTTTTTACTGAATAAGTTCATTCTTTACGGGGTGTCGTTTTTCAAGGGGTTGTTTAGTAGATTAGAGCTTGAACACCTGGATTCGACGGGTGTGGATTTTGCGTTTCGATTGGTAAGGTTTTTCGGTCGAGGTGTCTGTACTTGTGACAATCGTGATTTTGCATTCTCCATTAACAAAATATTCTCGTTTTCGCATAATAACGAGGACAGCTGTCGTAGCAAAAAGTGGTGGCGAACGTGTCAACGATACTATTCAGTATTTTGAAATGAATAATGTCCAAACGCTTTAGTAATACTTTATTTTTACTTGGTATTTTCAAGCACGTGGAAGCTGCTTGCGGCAAAGGTGCACGTTCGTAACCTATCGCGCCATTTCTGCGTAAGACGCAACTATATAGGTGCACACCCGAAACGCATATATCACTGTCGAATATGAAAATCCTGGGGCATGAAAGCCGCCGTTTGAATAATTATTTGCCATTGCATCCGCGCGACGAACAAAAACATGCAAGCACCGTAAGTTTCAATTGTCTGAATTAATGGATATGCAGATACGGTGCACGATGAATGCATAACCGGTTGTGTGACATTTATGAATTTTAATATTATAGATTATTTTTTCCCACCCATTTATCCCCGCGGTAAAAAAAGTTTGCCGAACTGTTCCACTTCGGTCTCATTTCAAAGTATAATCGCGGGACTCCCTTACCTTTATAATTCAACGAAATGATGTTATTACAGAGAATTTAATGCGTCGATTACCCGCAGAAACTTTACTCGCGACGATTTACTCATTAATATTAATAAATTACCGTTTTCACCGTTCTACGGTCGAAATGGAAAGAAAAAAAAAAGCGTTGAACGACAACAATTTTCAGAACGATATCAAGGGTTTTCGTTTTACGGCTGCATTAAGGAAGCAAAGTAGTTTAGATCGGAATCGCAAGGAATCACGGAGTATGAGTAATGTTGTTTTAATTGCGTCTCGGCGAACCGGCGATCGTTAGAAGGTGTTCAAAATCCAACTTATTTCGAGTCTATGATTACGGTTCATTTTGGACGATTACACTCTGCTCTACACACGAGTGATTTATCGAATGCAATTTCCGTTTCTGTCGGGGAAACTCTTTCAAAGATTTAGTTTACCTATTGTCCGAGCTTATTTTTAAGGTTCACCAATGAATCACCGCTCGTTTCCCTGTTTCGCCGAACGATACCGCCGCAGATAGAAATTTCTGACACTTTTGGCGACGGTAGGTGTTGCTGACTCGTGCACAAAAGGTGATACAATATCTGGGGATACCTTACGCCCAGCCGCCTTTGGGTAAATTACGCTTCGCCGCCCCCGCGACCGACCCCCTTCCAACCTGGAGCGGTGTACGAAACGCAACGCAATTCGCACCCTCATGTCAACAAGCAACCAACAGACTGAAACTCCACGAGAAACTCTATCAGAGATTGCTGCCGCCTGATCAGCCAGATCCAGGTGTCAGCGAGGATTGTCTTTACCTGAACATCTTCGTGCCGGATGGTAAGTCTGTCTTGCTGTGGCACAATTGAACGCTGATTAATTGGATACCTGATTAAACGGATTTCTGATTCACCTGAACAGTAAAATTTTCATAGTCGCGACATCATGCGTATTTATTCATGATCTGTTTGTCCGAAAGTTTTGTTCAAGTAATACTTGAAACTGATGTATTGTTACATCGGACTGACTTGTCCATTGGCGTAACTAGGATTTTTACCTTTACCTATTTTATACCAAGTACGTGGGTGGCAGAAAATAAACTTGCACGTTTTAAAATAATTATTTACGTATTTAATTAACACCGAAACTAAGCATAGAAAGATATAAACATAATTCTTATAAATAAAACAAAATCGAGATTGATTAAAAGCAAGAGTATATTGTGTGCAGATATTTATATTTAAAATCTATCATAATATAAGCTTCAATTTGCTGGTTTTTTCTGCAAAAATATCTTCTGCATTCTCGAGCGCTAGTGCTTTTATTACATCCGGTCCTTCAATTGATGTTACAGGATTAATAGTTTGAATAATTTCTGGCCGGGGGAGCCAGGCCCACCCTGGCCCCTACCTAGTTACGCCAATGGAGTTGTCCTTATATTGTCTTAACTCTGTAGGGATAGCTGGGTTAAAAACTGTCCCACCTTTTGCATAGCTTTTTATGCATGGTGGGATATATTTTAACCCACCACGAAAAGTTGAAGTTACTCATAATCATACAGTTTAATATTTCATTTTTATATCATTTTTTTTACATTAAAAAAAATTCTGTGCAACTAGGATTTTTATTTTCTTTAAAATCGTCTGCCTCAAAGAGTTAATAGTTAGTGACTGGACCTAGAAACTAGAACGCATTCTTGCGTCGAGTAAGATGTCGCTCTGGCGGCATTCATTAACCATTTACTGTTAGTGTATGTACAAGCGTCATTAGGTGAAAAAAGGTGCTCGTTTGACACTAAGACGGTGGCTTGTAATTTTCGCCTGTGTTTGATATGTATTGTAGTAACGACGATGAAAATCCTCGATATTCAACACGACAACGTTTCTTCCGAGTACCGAACTTTTAAGCCGCCGTAACACGCGATCGTCTGGTAATGATGATCATGCCGGGGAGCAGCCCCTTTCTTCATTTTCCCCGATATATCACGGGGCTGCGTGGTGTGACGCGATCTCTATCTCGACAACACAAAGAACAGGCTACGATTAGAATGTCGTCGGTTGTAGAAAACTATGTGTAGTTCTGTTTCTTTATGTTTTATCGAATGAAAGGTTTGCAATGAGATTTAAGAACTAGGCATTTGTGAAAGAGGTGTTCGCGATAACGCGGCTAAAGAAATTTCAAATTCAACGGTGAATGAAAGATATAATACGATTTTTTGACACAAGATAATATACATATGTTTATTTGAAAGTGAATTGAAATTGTCCTATCTGTTCTACTCGTACGACGATTAGTTTGTAAAACATTTTCGAAAACTCAGCCGTGACTGCAGAAATCGTTTTATCGTCGAACGTACGTTAATACCTTCAAAATTACATTACACAAAGATTCGCAGGTGAATTTCGTCTTATTTTGGGGCGAGGAATTCAATGAGGCATTTAGTTTTTATTTTTGAAACGTGTCTTCTCTTCGTGCCTCCAGGTGTGCAGCTACGAAATACCTACTGATCCTATGCGTTCGAAATACTTGTTAACGTCAGTCGTTAATTACGTTTTTCCAATCACCGTACGATTAACAATAATTGTATATCCGCAGTAATTTCACGTTCCAATTTCTCGATTGACAATAAACGCGGCCTCTGCGTGCCGCCGGTACGTAAATCTGGTTGTTTAAGGATGTCGGTTAAGGACTAGGCTAATGGCAGCATTACAGGCATCATTAGGAACTAATTTTGGATGTCTCGTGAGGTCGCGAGTCATAAAAAAAATCGGGTCGAAGGTCTGACACTGCCAGTTTTTTTATTTCAACGACTGGAATCGATACCAGAGACCCGTTGTTCGCGAACATCCATCGTTGAAACTTTCTTAATTCTCTTATAGGTACATACTTCTATTCCGCGCTCACCGTTACAGTCTGATCGATCGTACTGTTGATTTATCAAACGGGGAAATGTTATCCTACAAACTTACAGAACTTACACTCCCTGGAACGCTAATTTCTTCGTAGACTACCTTTATCAAGACCACAACGATACTCCTCGAGCTTAAAGTTTAATGGTATAATTTAAGCTACTATGGGACAACCTTCGATGACCTTCACCGTCTCGATTATCACGTTACAATTTTTATGAGTCTCAGATAGGGTCGATTTGCTTCGTCAAAATTGCCCCCTCAACACCTGTTCTTTTCCCCTGTAATTATATCGGGCCGATGACGATGGTATCACGCTGTGACGTATGATTAACCCAATTTCATAATAGGTACTTTATAAAGAAAAAGTGCAATTCCGAGGATTTTGTTCGCGATAACTTGCTCCGTTAACAGACTCGACAAAACTGACCTTGCTCTTAACAGTATAATCATCTGTCTTCCGGTAGCCTTGAGGGGACCACTCTGATCTTCCCAAGTTGGGAGCAATCGATACGAGCTTTTCATAGTCATTCATCGACAGTCGTACTATCATGAATGTTCGATTAGTCCAGGGACCTGAGGGAGTGTCCTGGAATAGCGAAGCAAAGGGAGATTCAGATATATGGGTGTATCGGGCATCATGTGTCTTGTGCACGAGGGAGTGTCCTGTGTCTGGAATAGCGAAGCAAAGGGAGATTCAGATATATGGGTGTATCGGGCATCATGTGTCTTGTGCGACCGGCTAGAAAGGGGGGAAGAAAACAGGAAAAGGGACACGTGAATCGGGAAATCGTGCCGATTCCGCCGGCCACAACCCCGGTCGATATAGAAACAGCAAAGGAGTAAGAGAGTAGCAGTAACTGGCGCACGTCGTGGCACGCGATCTTTTAGGGTCGGTCGAGATGTTAAGATACTGTTGAGGCCGGTCACGAAACCACAGAGAGCCCCTCTTTCTTTCCCGTGGCTCCCTTTGTTTCTTTCTTTCGCGTACCAGTGCCGAATCTGCTCGAATCGGTCGGTCTTTCTGAATATTCCGACGATTCTCCATAAATTACGCTCCAGCTGAAACATCATACTCGAAGAATCTTTCATTTCGAGGGTGTACAGATCTCTTGTGATTGGACGGTATATAATCCCAGCGTCCATGAATCACCGATGCATTTGGTATCAGTATGTTTCATTCTTCGATACATATTCGGTATATTCTCGATTATTCGAGTCATCCCTTTGATTTTCATATACTTGAAGTTTATTTCTGTTAATGAATTATGTTATTTGGAAACATGTAATACGTGCAACTCTGACCCATATCTAGCTTGTACACCCTCAGAGGCTTGTTCCGTAGTCACCATTCAAAGATAATAGCCCGAAACTATTTGTCAGCGGTAAGAAGCGTGGTTTCAGAGGACTCGTGCCGCATCGAAATCGCGATAACACGGCTAATGAATTGTCGCGGCGGGGGTGGATCACAAGGAGTCTATTCCTGGACGTCTGAGACGCCATCGTGCCGATAACGAAGACCCCAGGCCGAACTTCCTGTTAGCACAGCTCTATCGTTTCCCCCGTATCGTGCCATCTAAAGCATCCCACCGTGCAACGGCCTGAATTTCTTCGACCTTGGCACGCTTCAAAAACCGAGCCCGGTGTGACGCTGAAGAAATCACCGAATATTAATTATTCAATCGCCTCCGAGCATTCGCGGGATTTCTGGCCTCTGATGCTCATAAAAGTTGCAACGCTACCAACGGTGGAATCGTTTAACCCTTCGTGGGTTAAATTCCCACGTAATTGGCACGCTTGGGGTTTGAATAAAATATAACTGGCAGTTATTTTCGGGTGATGCTTCGAAATGGATTATTTAAAACAATCAACGGTACCCGAAGGGTGACTTTCACTGACAATTTTGCTCATATCGATTATTTAATAATTGGATAATAATTTTCTATTCTATTAGTTTTTTGTTAGTATTCTTTTCTAGTAAGTCTATTCGGTGACCAACATTTTCTTCACGATGACGAATACTGTCTTAATACTCGCAGCACCTCTAAGACCTTTTGAAGGTTTCCAAGAACTTTTGGTGGGGAATGACGTCGCAAGTGATTACGGATTGTCTCATGACGAGCAAGGGGATAACACTATGCAAATACTCTCACGATCGATTCACCGGTTTAACCGAAACCGGGGATGCAGGCTCATTTAGGGCGAATGCGAACTCATGAATTCCTAGAGTTCCAGTCGGACTTGTTTCATCGGCAGTAGTTTTGTTTTTAATCAGAATTCGTGATCGGTAATGTTAATTTTCATCGTTTCACTCATCACCATCCGTCTGAAATATTAAATAATGATACAGTAATTGCGAAGAATGATTTTACCAGTTCAGGTGGTCTAAAATAAAAAATAGAAACTACTAAGGATCAATTTCAGTTGAAACATAGCCGTTTTATTGAACCAATCGATCCTCTGTTTAGGAAATCGACCAGACGATGGTTGGCCAGTGATGGTATGGTTCCATGGTGGTGACTTCAACACTGGTACCCCGGCCATTTGGGACGCGACCATATTTGTCAGCAAACAGAAAGTAAGCTGGTATACTTGTCTTTTATGTAAACATTATAGGAATGGTCGACAGAAATCGAGCTCAAAATATTTGGTCGTTAATTAACACATCTAGATTGAAGGTGATTACGTCGGAGAGACATTTATTCTGACCTTAGCGGTTATTCTCTTGGAAAGAATTTCCGATTACGAATCAATGAGGCGGACGTTGAAAGCCGACAGAAAATCGAACGAAATTAGGGTGTTTCTTGCGTGTTAGATCGGCCCAAGGTAAATCCAACCTTTTGGAATTGCATTACGGTCCATCTATGATGCATGCTTTATATACGGTTGTAAATGCTAATTCGGAGTCTTTATGAGGAACTATTACCGCAATTTTGTTGCAAACTATTCCTATAAAAAGATTATCAGCACGAATATCATTAAAGAATCATGTTTCACTTTTTATACATACTTACAAACACTACGATTGATAGTAATGGGTTGCAAGACATTCTGACATTGTTACGGTGTAGGGTTCTCTATTAAAAAGTTGCTTAAAATTATAAAAAAATGTCACTCGGGTAAAATTATTGTCCCTTTTTGTAAATACTTTATTCTTAGTTGGAAACACTTCGTGTATATCACTCCGTACTATAAATACGCTATTTGGAACAAGTATTCTCTAGCATGTTGGAAAATCTACACTAGAACATGGAATGACACCATAGGATATGGGTTCGTGATTAAATACAAATTGGACACTTTCTTCGTGTGGTTACTTGTCCAATGTGTGTGTATGCGTGTGTGTGTGTGTGTGTGTGTCCGCAATTCCTGAATTCTTCCTATGCATTAATCGTAATATTGTGATAGTTTCATATGAACGATATTGAAAGTTTAATTCTTCTCTGTCTTCTCATCGCTATAAGTCCCTATAGATCTTGGACCTGTTTCTAGATATTAATCTTACTAGTCGATGTTTCCAAACGAATGGTTACACGTTCCTAATTCTTGAACGTCTCCTTCAAACCATCCTCCATAACTGATGATGTCATCGCAATCATGTTTTCAACTTTAACAATAATAGGAGATATCTTTCTTATCGAAGAACTTCAATTTTCGATCGAAAGGAATACGGTATTCTTAAAATCTAGCATTAACATCTACACAATCGTTTCTAGGTCCTAGTGGTCACCGTAGCCTATCGCCTGAACATCCTGGGATACTTCACAACAACGGACTCCGAGGCGCCGGGGAACTATGGGATGTTCGATCAGATCGCAGCTCTGGACTGGGTACAAAAGAAGATCCAGTACTTCAACGGCAGCCCATCCAACGTGGTAATTTACGGTCATAGTTCAGGGGCCATCAGCGTTGGTCTGCACCTGATTAGTCCCTTGAGCAGAGGCAAATTCACCAAGGCGATAGCCATGAGCGGGGATGCAATAAGCTCGGTGGGTTCACCCCAAACTGAACTCCCGGTCGTGGACATCATTGCCGAGAAGTTCGGTTGTTACAGACGTCCTACGTCAGCACTGATGGAGTGTCTTCGTCGAGTGGACGTGAACATTCTGGTACGGGAGTCTTCGGACATAGAGACGTGGGGTCCGATAGTGGACTCTGAGACGAACAACTCCACTGATCCATTCCTGCCGATGCATCCCAGAGACGCTTTAGACAGCAGTCAATTGAACAGCGTCCCGCTCATCGTTGGCTACACCAACAACGAACAAGCTTTAGCGTACATGGAATCGTTGGGCAAGGGAAACGAAGACGGCAAATTATCCTCGAGTAGATTCGAGACGCTGATCACCGATGAGTTTCTCGCCCTCGTTTCCAGTACAGAAGACAACAGTACTTGCGATATGAAGCCGGAGATGGTGACCGACGCGGTGTTATTCTTCTACAAACCACATCCACCGAGCAAGGACCAAGGTGTCCTCAGGGATAGATACTTGGACCTTCAAACCGAAAAGAATTTCGCCGCCGGGCTGACACTGTTGGCCGGTAAAATTTCAAAAGATAAGATGGCTTTCGTTTATAGGTTCGACTACCGTCCTAAGACACAGTTCATCACGAAGGATGTACCTGAATGGGCTGGTGTTCCACACATGTTTGAGCTACCCTTTGTTTGGGGGCTGCCTCTGGTCCCTGGTAGTTCGATTCAGTGGAACTTTGCCGACAAACAGATGGCGGAGGTGATGATGCTGATGCTAGCCAACTTTGCCAGGTCTGGGAATCCTTCTTTGAATAACGTCAAATGGGAGCCGTACACCGAAGAAGAGCCTGGTATATTGATTATCGATAGAAATATTGACATGAACGACGGTAACGCTGTGGATTATAAGGCTCTTGCTTTTTGGAACGAGTATTATCCCAGGGTACTTGAAGAAGCGACGAACAATTGCTGTAACGTGACCAGTGGATCTACCACGTGGAGGGATACCTCGTATAAGGTTACTCTGAGTGGTCTTGCGATAGCGGTAGTGTTACATTCTCTTGATTTGTAGTCGATGCTGGTGAAATATTCTTTGTACATGCTCAACGGGGCTTCTTTTGTGCAATCGTTGGTAAACTAAGATGAATATTTTGATATATACACGAGTGGCTCCTTCTGTGTGCTGACAGCTACTATACACTTCTCGACGGCTACTTTACAATTTCAACGCTGCTTGAATAGTACTGATTCTGTCTTCGTATTCTTTAGAATCGAAGAAACACGAAATTGGTAACGTTTCTTAATTATTCGTAAAGACAAGATATTAACAGGTGTATCCAATCGGGGATCTGACTGGTTTGAGCGAGGTTTCCACTGAACGAAATAAATTCCAACAGTTATCAAAATCAATCTTATCGATATGGTAAAAAGTATTTTTTTTAAAAGGATACAAGTGAGATTTGGAGCCAGCATAAGAACCTGACTTAAACCACTCATCATCCCTGGAGTCCAATCAAAGGGGGAAGGGGGGCGTATGGTATAGAAGCAAGGAGGACAACCACCAGCCTGGGCTTTTCGTTCTTACTTTTTCTTGTTTTTTTTTTTTTGTTAACATTCACTGAGAGATTTTTTATTATTTGCTTTAATACGGAGAGATATAGAAAAAACATATATTGTTCGAGAAACAAACGGTTGATATAACTTATGAATATTTTGATGTTTTGATAATAATAATAATAATAATAATAATAATAGTAATAATAATAATCATCGTGTGTGTGTGTGTGTGTACCGTCTATGTATAATTATTATATTATATATAAGAGAGAGGTGCGCGGCGGGCGATGCATGGGGGCTGGTGGCCTGCGCACGCGCACATCCAAACATTTTCTTTTTGCTTTTTCCATCATTTTCTCCTAAATATATTTATATATTTATATATATATATATATTTGTATACTATCATTAAGTAATCATATTTTTTTTCATCTTCTTCTTCTTCCGCCTCGTCTTTATCTTCTTTAATGCAAAACGCCTACAATGATAACCGACGCCACGGGGTCTCGTTAACACTAAAACTCTTTGTGCGCCTGTGTTTGCGCGTGCACACGAGCCACCCCGGGACCAACGTATATACAACATTATTAGTTTTTCCTCGCTGTTTCTCTTCACCCCTCCATTGCGCCGTTCTCTCTCCACCTTCATCCCCTTTCGTACCCTCTCTCCGTCGTCGTTGCGTCATTGTCACCACCTTTCTTCTGGGTGTTCTACGACTATGTGTAACCCTCCCTCCCCGCCCCTGTGTCCGCTTCCTCGTTGTGTTGCCCCTCTATTTGCTTATGATTCCGTCAGCCCCCTCCTTGTCACTAGTGTTTGTTCCGTGTAGTCGCCTGAACCCCCTCTGTTCCATCTTTCCCACTGGTATACCCGGTTTTGCGTGTTGCTTCCCGTCTCATCGTGCAGGAGAGTATGGGCTTCTGCTACATCTTCTACTTTACAGAAGTCGGCACAGCGATTTCTTTTTCTGCTTCATTTTCTTTTCCGGTGACTTTTTGTTGATTTGTCGAACCAGGTCGTAGAAGATCTGGAATCCACGAGAAAATCCGGTTAGTTGGATCGTTTAGTGCTTAAAGGACACGGGAAAATTTCAAGGGAGACAGGATGTCGAGTACAGGTGCGCGAGGAAAACACGTGTCCAGCCAGGAGAAAGAAATTGTGTTACAGTTTAAAAGATCATCTTCGTTTCCAAATCTTGGTGAGGTTGTTTAAGATCAAACGATTTCTGGAAATTGATAACCGAGCCTGATATCTAAATTTTGCATAGACACACCGAACACTCCTATAGTGGGTCGATTAAATTCGAATTGCAAAATACCGTCGAGCCATAAAACACAATTAGCTCTGATAATTCGAACTTTAGTTCCACCGTCTAAGTTAAGTTCTTCTTACATCTAGACTGCGAATATATTTCATCTCGTTTGAAAGTTATAGCGAAGTAACGAAGTAGAACTTGTCTTATCTCTGTCCTAGCTGTGATAGTAGAGGGACCTGACAGTGTGTTTCCGCGAAGAAGTTTATTTTAAAGTTATGCGCTGGAAAGTCTATGTAAAAACGAAGTTACATGTAACGTGTCAACGTGGATGTTGACACATGGATGTAAATAAAATTTATTTAAAATAACCAGCCCGCGTTACGTGGCCGTTTTCCGTTCCGTCCGCGGCTGACAGTCACCACCATACTGCCTCCTATTGATCTTTGCGATTCCAATTGTCTCCCAAACAAACGTTAAAGTGGACCTTTAATTACGCCCAATGGAAATTCCGATCTTCTTTTATTTGCACCAAATAATTACCGTCATCGTGCTTTGAACAAACAGCCGCATAGTGTATTCCCCCCCCGCCCTCCATTCAAAGCTGCTCCAAGAAAACCGTGCTCCAATTACGCACAACTGAATTGCACTTTCGAACGACGAAAATAACAAAAGTAATGAAATGCAGGGAACAAGAGACAAATCCTCCAAGGGAGGAGAACTTATACAAAACCATTTGCAGCATGGTTCACCGAGGATTCTCTAAGAGATGCATCCTATCGCCAGAGAACATCCTCATAGAGGAAAGCAGTGATATTGTAACCGGTAAATATCTTCAATTGAAGTCTCCGTAATAGGGGGACAGTTTACAAAATGATAATTTCGAGGAACAATTTGTATACTGGATTCACGGACTGCAAATTTCACGCGAGGTCCATATTGAAAAGTTGGGAGTTGAAGCTTTTTTTCATTTTTGCTTTCGTTAACTAGGTTGGTAGACAGTAGGTTGGAATCTGTGGGTTGCGAGCGACGCGTTACTAACTAGAAGCCGAGAATCCTGTGTGGCCTGGAGTGCAACTCCCACACTTAGCAATTGCATTCCCACATTCAATTAGAATATCTCGGCCTTCGTAACGGTCTTGAACTCCCACACGTCACGCTAATTATCAAACAACAATAGCCTCCTGAACAGACTACTGTTATTTTGTAACAGCATGTTCACTGGTTTTTAAAAATCCCCACTGCGTGTTGTATGCTCGAATCTGCAGTTGGAATAGGAATTTTTTATTGTGGTTTTGAAGGTAGGGGGAAGCTGGTATTGATTTCTAGTAAAATATTCTATTTTATTCTATTCTACCTTTTTCTATGTTCTAATATATTCCCTTTTATACTCGATTCTTCTATGAATCAACAGCGTTCCATTCTATTTCATTCTCTCAGTCCCAGTTTTAATGTATCAAACGATAAAATGAAATAGAATAGATTAATCTTTTTTCTGGAAACCCATTTCAGCCCTCATTTTCTGTCCATCCAACAGCTAGGTTTAAATTCTTTCTATCAAATAGTAGCAGAATTAAAAACAAATACGTGTACAGAGTACGAGGGTGAAAACGGCACCGTTACGGTCGGTATGCGCGTCACACGTACCCCTACTGTGCGGTCACTTTTCCCTGACTAGGTCTCGTATTTACAAAACTTATCTCCCATTGCCTGTCAATGGTGTTTGATTCTCCACGAATTTCTACCCTACACGCAGGTCAAATCTTTCGGATTATTTTGCCGAGACCGCAGTTCAGTTCGGGCAGTCGTAGCGGTGACATCGACGAGTGAAAGTGTTTCCGCGAATGTTGTTATCTCGGTGTTAACCAAAATTCCCGATCTATTCGAATTCTAGTTTATTCCGCCCTATTTCTATTAGTGTTTGGAAGAGAAGGGGGGATGAATTGGGTTAACGTTACTCACATCGTGAACATTAATTCTGGCTTTGGCAGAGGTCTCCATGAACGCACAGTTAAATTGCCGGGCAAGGTTGACGCCCTGCTCTTTGCCCACTACCCTCTCGTCCTCCAAGTCGCACTTGTTGCCGACCAACACCATTGGCACGTCATCTGTGTCCTTTACCCGGAGGATCTGCTCCCTGAGGTCCTGTAGGTCGTTGAACGTTGACTGTGCCGTTATCGAATACACTAGTATGAAGCCTTGGCCATTCTTCATATAAAGGTCCCTCATGGCTGTGAATTGTTCCTGGTGAACAAACAGACCGTTGTTAATTCATACATTTATCGATCTACACGTGTTGTGTTTTTATTTCTACGCGACTAGTGCTACCGTGAACTTTTCACTCGCTAAAAAGATATCTCCAACTTCTATTTTTAAATTTATCAAAGTTGTTCGTACGCTAAATTTCTGACACGCGTGAGTGCCAATCAGAGATGGGCAAATTCATTATGTAGATAAAAAGTTTCGAATAACGAATAAAAGATGAAGAAAAAATTTCGTCATTTTTCATTGATCGAACGTGGCAATTCCAATTTTTATAATAAAATAATATTTCTTCTTGAACGAGTAGACACTTCGTAAACAATTATTTAATCTCATAAACTGTTTCAAGGTCAGGACGACGATTTTAGATACTGCTGCTTCTCATAATGTATTATTCGAATAAAATTGTGCCCATCTCTGGTGTCAATTGACAGTGATTTTTGGGGAGTTCGGTAACGACAAGTGAAAATCGTTACGGGAGCACCAGTGTCGGTGCGTGGATTTCTGGTAAATTTTTCTATGGAAAACTCACCGTTCCGGCTGTGTCTAGGATTTCTAACATACATTGTTGACCGTCGACCTCGACCTGTTTACGGTAACTGTCCTCGATCGTCGGGTCGTACTTCTCGACGAAGATTCCTTGGACGAACTGGACAGTGAGGGCGGACTTGCCTACACCACCACTACCCAACACCACTATTTTATATTCACGCATTTCCTTGCCCTAATTCTCTGTGCGCCTGTGGTCACAGCCGAGGGGTCACCGAATCCGCCACGTTTTGCTCCTCTTTCCCCTCACTCGAACGGACCTGAAATCAGACCAACTAATGTATATTCCATATTTATGATTCTCCGTAAATAGTTAATCGCCTTAGTGAAATAATCTTCGTCGCCGGCTTATTCTCGGGGAAAGGTTGTCAATCAGCGAGATTTGAAACACAGATTTCGAGCGCGCGCTTAAATTTGAATATTTAATTCGGTGCAGGCAAGATATAGAGGTAGCGTGGAATTTTTAATTGTCGTTTATTCAGTGGCTAGCAGAAGTCCCGTCGTTGGAATCGCGAAATTTCATTTATGACGATAAAAAGGAAAAGAAAAAACGAGCTTCGCGGAATTTTTTTCCACCTCTATTGTCCTCGCCTGGAAAACTTTTTCCCCCGAACCTTTGTTTGTAAATGAAGGATGGCTGCCCGAGGGTTCACCCAGTTTTTTTTTAGAGACCCACGGAATAATAAAACGTCGCGTTTCGGGTTCCATTTCGGAAATTGACGATAATAAGTGTTTCGAATGATCGGACGTGGCTTTTGTTGAATTATTTTATCAATCAAGAACAAGTGTTTTTCACAGTGAAACATGAAACTTGGTCTATTCGTGTCTAATGTTTTTTCTAGATACTTATTGATCGAAACCTATCTAATTTCATGCTTTCGAAAATCGAATGGAACTCGTGAAAATACAATACGTATAACCGTGGGATACGAAAATTCGCTTTTAAAGTTTCCTCGTTCGTTCTGTCGTTTAACTAGCGCACTGCGCCTGCTTCGTGCACGCAATGCGCCATTTGTCTTAAAAACTAGACAAACTTGCTGGATTGCGGCAACGAGATCAAATAGAATGATAATTCCTGCCTGCATACAGTGTGTCCCACGACTTTAGCTTCGACCAAAGTAACAGACACGTAAAATTGTACAGTTAACTCAACAACTTCCACCATTCCATAACGATCGAAATATCTCTTCTTATACAGCTTTAACATTCTATTTTTACATTGAATCAATTATTTCATAGCCTATTTGGAACATGTATAATAATTGGATACCCATATTCGTCCAGAAATCACAAAATAATTCCAATGTAAATAGACTCTCTGTTTCGAAGGTATGCGAAATTATTAATTAATTAATGAAACATCAGTGACAAATCTATTTCTCCTCCCAACTTTTTCAATTTAAAAGAGACATTTCCAGTGGTAGCATAAATAGGCATTTTAATTAAATTTTTCCACCGGGATCGCAGGTACAAGATCGTACTCATCTCCCGAAAATAATTAGAAAAGAAGGTAAAAACGTAGGAATTTTCAAGTGGGCGAGAGAGAGAGAGAGGAGGGGAGGGGGGAGGAAGGGGTGAATTCGCCACGAGTGCACAAGTACGGGAAAACAAGGCGCGGTCGACGATTGGCCGACGATGCCATCATGGCGACGTGCCGCGACCAATCCACGGCCACGGATTTCTTTTCACCAATTCGTCATTGATTTTAGGTTTATGAATGGGACCGCTTACGCTACCGCATCCCTTTCAAGATACATACTACGAGTAGCGTTCGAGTCCGATTTAAAGAGAATCTCCGCGGTTACAATGAACGAATTCTGACCTCTCTTTTTAACAATGAATTAGACATTTCAAATTGATCCCCGATACATATTCATAGAAGTGAATCGGGAATCCAAAGGAGCAAGAGAAAAATTAGATACTTGTCTGTATCTACTGTCTCAGCAGTTTGAATTTCATTTTCCATTTCGTGAATCGAGTTTATTAGATTCTTCCTGTTGGAGGACCTACACTTGTTTCTCTATTGATTCTATTTAGGTTGTCCTAGTTACTCTATCAATTCACTACGAAAACATTACCGTTCAAATTACACGAATTTGAATCTCCATTTCGTGATCGAAGTTTATTAGATTCTTCCTACTCTGGGACCTACATTCGTTTCCCCGCCATTTTCATCAATCGAATCACTCGATTAATTAGCAAGAAGTATAGTTAAAATTCTAGTCCGTAATTTAGAAAAATTACCTTCTCTGACAACGAAAAAAAAAATCATACACCGAATCGAGTTCGAAAATCTGTAAAGGGTATTCTTTTTCCTCTCCCTCGAAATACTCAAGAATTGAATAACTCTGTGGAGTCGCGAGTACACGTCGGCTAGGCATGGGGTTAAGGGACATCTCGACGATAACGAGTCAAGTGACACGGAACACGAGGTGTTTTCGGTTGAACCGACCCTTCTCGCGACCACGCGCAGCCAATCGACGAGGGGGGTTAAGCGTTTCCAGGCTCGCTAGGGTTAGAACCTCAAGTGTCAGAGTAGCTCCCATCCGGGAAGGAAGAGACGGTCTATGAGTTCAACGATTCCATTTGCACACGCGTGCACACAGAGACGAGGTCTGTGCCGGAAGGGTGACGTGAATCGAGGGGAGAGGCCGATTACATTGAAGAACGACGCGAGAAGTTGGTCGCGGAACCAGCAATAGATGTACTACCACCACCATCGGAAAACTCGATCGACTTCTAGATCGAACTGATTTCAATATTCTCGAGGAACTTTTCCGATCGAAAACCGTACCTTTTCTGACCTTCGTTACGGTGTGTTCGATGCAACGCTTCGATGCATGCCTCCTACTTCTGTCATTAATAGACTGCAGTTTTTCTGCAATTATTTCAGACCACGATTATTTCAGACTCATCTAATTATAGACAGCTTATCTAACCAATTTCTAATGAAATCAAATGACACGTTTATTTTCCTTTTTTCCCTAGCTTGGATAGAGTGCGCGGATTTTGCAATAATAAAAATAAGAAAACTACCCCCTTCGAGTTTTCGAAAGTTTAAATCTTTCGTATATGTATATCGATTCCTCGAAAATACTGTTCCCTAAGCCTTCGAGAGACCCCAATGTTGGTCACGATGATTCAATAAGGGGGCCGAAACATCGAGGGCGCCATAACTCCGAAAACGAAATCAATCAGAGGGGGAGTAATTAGATCGCGCGGGTCGCGGATCAGCAACAAGTCGACGAGTTTCGTCGCGATCGACTACCCCCCCCCCCCCCCCATTGGACGAAGTCCAAAAAACTTTTTCCTAGCCGAGGAAAATATATCGGTATCCGCATACGTCCGCAGAGGGAGCAGCGAACGTTCGACCGGTGACCCAGTTATGGGAAAGGGGGCTCGATCCGCCGCCCTTTTCCCGGCCGAATTTCGCAGCTCCGCCCGCTCCGTCGCGCGAGAATTAAAACCTCGAGAAATTCGACACGCGGCTTCCCGTTCGCGGCCAGACCACCCCCGTCGACCCCCAACACCCCTTCGTCCACCGATCGAACCAACACTCTACGCTATAAATAAAACCGGAGAGCGTTTTTCACATTATCGGTACGTTCCGATGCAGACTGGAGCGTAAACGGAGAAAAATGGAGCGAACGATCGAAGCCCGAGTCGCGTTCGAGAATGACACTCGGTTGATTCCAGGAACGAGGGGAAATAAGGGTGGTGTCCGTGGAAGAATATTTGGGTTTGGATCTCGTGAAATTTAGCGACAAGTAATCGGGTATTCTATTTAGGGCGAACGGTAGATGTAATATTGCATATCCAGGAATTTTCCCCAAAGAGTTGGGAAAATTATTGTTGAGATAGGTAAGGTTCGTGTTCTTCGCATTCCATTCCCCGAAAGAACACGGTAAACCACCAGTCGAGAATTCAATCAACGAAAATGGTCCCTGATTTTTCCCAGTGAAACGACGGCGTCCATTTGCCAAATGAATATACCAACGGCGATTCAACGTGAACAGAATGGGGAACACGGGGGTGGTACCTTTATTCCAAAAACAGCTCGGCCGGAGTTCTCCGACCGAAACTATCGGAGAAATTTCATCCGTCAATTATATCGTTAACGAAGTATCGATGGAACTTTATCTATTCACGGTAACCCGTTTAGTTCCGTTGGACGATTTTCTGAAATTCCTGCAGCTCAGGTGTGTATGCCGTATATAGAAATAAGGATCGATAAAGTTTTGCGGCCAAGGGGGGGGGGGTGAGAATTTTTCCACGATGCGTGCCCGTGCATTCGGAGGCTGCAATTGTCTCTCGAGCGAGAGAACCGTCTTGACACTGATGCGTTTAATTAAAGACGATGAAGGTTGATCAAAGTTCGTCAGCACCGCCGCGAGAGTAACACGCGAAGGAGCGTGTGGTTTCTCGGCGTCGCCTCTACTTCCGGGGGGTAGAAAAAGATCGAAAGTTCGAAATTGGAGGAAAGACGAAACTTTCGTTGGAGAAGCAACCGCCCTGTTTCTTCGTCGCCTCGGAACAATATGTTTTCATTATTCCGCGATAAAACAATACGCGCCATGAAAGTAATTTACTTGTTCGCGTTTACAAAACTATTTGAAATATTTCGCGTGCAATTTCAACTTTTAGCGAACAATTGCCTCGCTTCGGAGCTAATTACAGGGTTTCGATATAAAATTGTTGTTAACAGACGGGGGGAAACGAAACACGGAAAATTATTAATTATAAAAGAAAAAAGAAATATTTGTCGCTGTGTCTTTTTTTTTGACCATGTTTTCGGGAGTTTAACGTAGACGAACAATAGTTCGCCGAGCAATTAGCGCACGGCCTTTCCTTCGCATTATTCTCCGAAACCAATTAACGGTTCATTGATTCGGGAACCGCGTGTTATGAGCTTTTAAAGCCCCGTCGAAGGTCCGATACTCTCTCGATATACGGGAAAATTGCGGGCAGACCGCCGATATCAAGCAGCCTGCTATTGACGGGGCGGCGGAATACATACTTGACTCGGAAAACCGTTTTGCTTGGAAAATTGTTTGAAAATTTTACTAGATTTTAATTTACTTCGGGTGAACGAACAATAGCGGAATCTCTATAGGTCCTTTGAAGCTGGACATTATACGAGAGAATTGTCCAATCTGGGTCTTTAAATTGAATAAGAAGAAACGACAATAATTTACAATTTTCAACGAACGATTCTTGTTTCGTTTAACCAACGTTAGAATATCGATTTAAAAAGAAGAAC